TTTACCTTGGACTGCATGCTTTGAAGCGGAATAAGGAATTAAGTTGGGAAGTCCTGCGATGCCTGCTATTGATGAGAGTGCAACGACGTGACCATAATTTTTTTCTATCATAATCGGTAAAAATGCCTGCAACATCTGAAAAAAATCGCGTAATAGTTTTTGAGAGCGCGTAGTATTATGTGCGTAACAGCCCAAGGAGAGTAAAAAGTCAAGATAATGTCATTGTGAAAAAATCAGAGTTTAATCACTGATCATTTTGCACATTTTATTTTAATAACATTGATAGATAATAAGGTAAATTCTTTAAAAAATAATAATTTCTAAAATTTGAAGTATAGGTTCCAATGGAAATCCGTACGAATATAGAAAACGGGCTAACTAAGAACCAGGCGCGGTAAATAATGCGCAAAAGTTTCATTTTTATTATACTAGACAGTAAAAAATAAAATGTTAATCGTAACATTTTTCAAATGTCCCAGAAAGTCCAATCTAAATTTTGAGTTAAAATAACTCATTCATCGTGTGTTACTTGTTGACAAATTAGAAATGTTAATTTATTGACACTATATTTTACATTTATATTTGTTCTTTTAACTTTAAGTATAATGTAAAAATAACTTGTAAAAAATGTCGATATAACATATTTGAATAAACGATAGTTATTTCAACTTAAGAGAAATGTTGTTTTGAACATTTGATTGTAGTAAATTTGATTATTTTGTATGTCAAAGTTTACGATTGAAGATTTACTTTAACTTTTGTTTATGTTAAAATTTGTTTATGTTAAACTTTAAGGCGTGTTGATTTTTTGAAATAATTATGTTAAAAGAACTTAAAATAATATTCAATTTCTAAATGACATACATAAAGTGTTAAGTTATCACGTTGACATTAATATAACACATAAAAATGTTACGAAAATAATAACATAGCTGTTGTATGTTAATTTTACATTGAAATAATAGTCAAATCTTGGTAACACAAGAAAATTTTAACATTTGGACGCACGATTTTTTACTGTACGTGTATTTTACATATCTTCCAACCTTAACTGCGCGTCGACTAAATTTGTCAGACTTGAAACACAGCTCCGGTTGGAGTAGTAAAATCCCCCCTTCCCCCTACACCTAATTAAATCAATTCGGTTTAATTTTTGATGCTATATGGACCGGAGCTGTGTTTCAAGTCTGATCGACAAATTTAGTTGGCGTGCAGTCAAGGTTGGAAGATATGTAAAATAGAAATAAAAATAAAACTTTTGCGCATTATTTACCGCGCCTGGTTCTTAGTTAGCCCGTTTTCTATATTCGTAATAATTTCTAATTATTAAAAAATTTTAATTATTAAATAATTATTCCACAAAAATATAAAACAATTAAAATAGCACTATTTATTTACAAGAGCAGAAAGGCAACTTAATATTTATATAATAGTCGATTTTAACTTACCCAAAAGTGGGCTAGCACATTAACGTTGAAGATTTGTTCGATTTCATCGGCTGTATAATCTAGAAAAGTACGACATGGCATTATACCAGCATTGTTAACTAAAATTGTGACATCGCCGACTTCTTCCTTCACTTTTTTAGCTAGTGCAAAAATCTCTTCTCTTTTAGTTACATCACATCTATAAAATGGTAAAATCTTAATTAAAATTGATCATCGTACTATAAATATTATAATGACATTTCTTACTTTCTAAATTTCTTGGAGTGGAAACTCGACCGAAAGAGTGAGATTTCACTCTTTTAGAGTGAGATTTCACTCTTTTTGGACGCCAAGAAATTTAGAGAGTATATACCCATATATTACTATAGTAATAAGAGAAAGAGAAAGAAAGACGTAGAACAATTTACGATGTGACCTTTGCGTTGCCTAACAGAAGAATTTTAATAACAATTGGAATATTTGTGCAATAGAACGAATTTATCTACTTTTTGCTAAATAAAAGAAACTTTGACTGTTGTATGTCAAAGTAATAATTAAAATTCCTGTGGTCGATACAAGAAACTAATATAAGAGTAACATACCGATAAGCGTATGCATTTTTTCCAATTTGGTTGGCCGTTTCCTCGTTTGTATGTTTATTCACATCTAAGCATACCACTTTCGCGCCCAAAGACGCATATTGAATCGCCAACTCCTTTCCTATACCGTGACCTGCACCTGTTATCTTGTAAATGTAAAGAAATATAATATAAAAACACATTGTTATTGTGAAAACTTATTCACTCTTCGTAAAGTGTATTATTATATCATTATTTAATATATCATCAAAGATTTTTAATATTACATTATATTTATATTTTAATATTACATTATATTTTAACATTGTCTTAACATTAAATAAACATTATATATTTATCTTAATTGACACATATTTGTTACTAATTAAAATCAAAAGTTTGCCATTATTCCTCATTGTTTCACATATAAATATATATGTGTGTGTATATAATTACGATAAATATATAAATAGATGAACAATTTTTTTACTGAAATATATTCATTTTTTTTAATTTTTTAAAATTAAAAAAATTTAATACGTACCAAAACAATCTCACCAGCCACTTCCTTTTCATGTAATCCGAAGCAATGGTGGTATACGCTTTGGCATATGTAGTAAAAAATTTGCAACGTAAGCCATAACAGGTTTACATAAATTTGTACGATCTTGATCATACATATCATAAACTGAAAAGTTATTAATTTTCTTATATGAATATCGCGCGAGTATTAACTAGGGGAGAGGAGGCTACCTTGTGACACAGGCAACAGTGTTACATTGCGATTATTTTGCGATGTGTACGTTTTATGTGCAATTTTATCTGTGGTTATGCTTTATTTATGTGTAACTGAGATCATATTAATCTAAAAGAGGGATTAACACAAGAAATAAAAAAAATACAGGTAAGAATCTCTTTCGACCATACTTAAAAAAATATTTTGTCTCCTAAACTTTTTGTAATATTTATCGCTGCGGTGCGTATAACCTAAGTATGTACGCATGTATTTGTAGGTTAATTCGTTGCAAAACGTATTATATGCATTATAAAACAATTATAAGTCATTAAATATATAAATTTTGCAATAAATGTGTCCAGTGTTGTGTGGGGTACCTTGTGACATAGGCTAGACATACAGCAAATAGGTTATAGCGTGATCTATATGTGTGGTCTATTTTGGTATTCTGCAGATTATAAGAAGATTGAATATCTTTTCAAGATGGACAAAACTTCAAATGCAAAAGAAAAAACCAAAACTAGCAGAGCTAAGGTGGACGAGGCGACAATGAAAGCTGCGGTGTTTCAAGTCGTCAAAGGAAATCAAAGCATTCGAAGCACAGCAAAATCTTTCAATATCAATCACATGACACTGAGTCACTGGGTCACTAAATATAAAGAGGCCACGGACGAGCATAAACTTACTATGAAATTTGTCAATTGTCACATAGTACCCTTCTGCCTGTCACACAATACCCCATCAGTTGGGTAAAGTGTGACATTTTCCATATTTTCATTACATTAAGTTATTTACAGATTACAATATTTTTTTATTCATATACTAATACGTCTATTTCATTCCTAAAGGTTCAATATAAATGCCAATAAAGTTATTTTTTACAAACTCCACGCTAAAAACAAAAATTTATTGCTCCGAAAAAAAAGTGTCACAAGGTAGCCTGGTCTCCCCTACTTACATATACTTACAGATAATAAATAAATTAATTAAAGCTGTAAATTTTAAAAAGTGAAAGAAGACTCATTGAAAGGACAAAATATTTCACATTTTCTTGAAGAAAGCTGATGTTTCGGAATATATTTGATTTAGAATATATAATTTTGTTATTTGTAAGTGAAAAAGGTAAAATTCTACGCGTTGTTAAGTGTATCAAGAATACGTGATATTGATGATAACAAATATTTTAGGAATTTGCTGTGTCAATACTTAACAGCGATGATCTCAGCGGTTCAGATGTGTTATTGATACATTGTGTAAGGTACATTGTGTCGATATGTACATTAAATTCTTAAAATATAGTTTTAAACGTGTGAACTGTTTAACTTATATTTTTCGCAAAATATCCTATATTCCATATTTTTCATATCTTATATCTTTTATATTCTAAAAATTTGTGTTAGTATTATTAAATTGATTATCAATTTAATTATGTAATTGTATTATTTTAGTTTTAGTTTAAGATTTCGTTTCAAGACGGATAGTAGCGGCGCGTGGTTTGCTAAGGCGAAGAAAGGCACATAAATTATTCATGCGAATAATATTATTAGGTACAAAAAATCTAGCCCGACCGTATAAGGCATATTTCTATCTATTTGTGGTATTCACAGATCGATCGAGTTCATCTATATTGTTTATTTTGCAACTTCCGGCTTCAAAATGCGGATAGAATACTTTTTTGTGTGTTTAGCTGCAAAAATTTTTAAAGAATATTATATTAATAGTCGTTTATATTAGCATTCATACCTACCTAGTATAAGTACAGATTGACGTGACGCATAAGTAACATGGTACATAACGTAAAATCGATTTTCTTTTTAACAGCTATATTTGCAAGAACAGCAAAGAAAACTTAGAAAACGTAAAATTTAAGTGGAGTTTAGCAATATTTTTTTCTTATGTTAATTTTATAATATATTAATATTTAAGATATAAAATCCAGTTTTCTTTGTATTTGCAAATCATAAAAAATATAATTTTTGTATTTTATAATTTTTGGTACGAGGTTTTCTAATATTTTTGAATTTTAAATATACAAACATATGAATATACAAACACTTTATATTTTAAATGTGTACAAGTTGATAATTAGGAAGTTGCTGAAAATAAATAGCTCTTGTTTTATAAGCAATTGATGAAAGAATTTAATAAAGTAAGCAACATTATAAAAGAA